TATAGTTGATGCAAGCCATTTCGTAAAATGTTCAAACCAAGATATATACCAAAAATGTTTTCGCACAGTTGTCCAGCCACTGGTCCAGTCAGCCACTTTTTACCGACCAGAGTGGTCGGTGAAAAGGCGGCCTTGATTATGTTATTCGTTAGATTCCCGATGGCCTAAGAACGAAACCCAGCCTAAGATTGGGTTTCGTTCCTTCATTCATTGTTCCTGTCCTGTCCTCGTATGCTATCCACGTTCCATATTGTCATACTGGCTCAGCACTTTCTGCTAATCATTTCACTGCCTTGATAATTACGTAAAACATTGTGGTCGACATTTATATTTTATTAATAGCTGGTTACTAATCGTGGTTTACTTTATAGTCAAAATGTTACGGATTTAAACCAAGATCCGTAAACCAAGATCAATAAATGTGAATCCCTATTTCTGCGAGCATTTGGCCAGTGTTTATGAGGACAGGCTGTATCTCTATAAATCTGAATTTGGCTTCGAACCAGCCTCAGAATTCGTATCCGAGCAACTGCAATTAAACTCCACGAGGCAATTACGCAGTATTGTCAGACTGGCAGCTTCAAGCACGTTCAAATAAGTGTTACTGAACTACTTCAAGAGTAAAGTATGGCTGATAACCCACGGTCTTCCATAGGGGTCAATGGAAGGTGCAACTCCTACACGCACTATAGTAGAAAAGGGTCGCGCACCAATAGGAATTAAGGACCCAATAGAGGAAAGAGCGCAACTCCATAGTCTCCTGACACTGATCGATGCCTACTACTAGAGGAAAGAGTTTGTGTAAATATGAATTAAAACGGGATTAATGGGTTAATAATGGTAAGAAGATGGAAAGGGGAAAATCACGATGGTGAAAAGAAAGGTGATGGAAGAAGAGGGTAAAGGAAAGGGAAACTGAAAGAGGTCGTGGAATAGTGTAAGGTCGAAGAAGTATTGATGGAAGAGAGCTTCGTGGAAGAGCAGGGAGAAAGTGTGGAAATAGATAAGATTATACATGATTGGGTGGAAGAAAAAGAAAGGAAGATGAGGGGTTCAAAGGAGAGGAGAAGGAAGAAAAGGGGCGAAATAGGAATTAGTGAAAATAAAGTGGATTCGAAAAAAGAATTGGTAGTGGTGAAAGGGAAGTTGGTGAAATGATTGGAACAATGATAAGGAGATGTTACATAGGGATTATTGAAAGAGTCTGAGGTGAAAAGGGTGGAAAATGTGGTGTCGCAGATGGGAAAAGATTTGGTGGAAGGGAAGGCTTTAGAAAAGGGCAGAGATGTAAAATAAACAGTAAAAAGGAGTGATGAAAGGGCAGAGGAGAAATAAAAAGTTAGAATAATCTATAGAAGTAGAAGTGTTGTTGTAAAGGAGCAGGGAATGGAATAGAGAAGAGCGGAAGAGGAAGAGGAAGAGGTTTTAAAGAGGTTGTGTTGGAAAGGGGAAATGGTATAAAGGAGGAGGTGAAAGTGGAGATGGTGGAATGAAAATGGAAGGGATGGTGATGGAAGGGAGGTGGTGGTAGCCTCGGCACTAATGAAGCATAACAAACCAGGGTTTTGGAGGGACGAGTGCCTATGCAATTATGTAAATTTATGCTACTCTGTCCCAGTGTTGTGTGTGAAGATGTTAGCTGTCCAGATTTTGGTGGTGTGGGCAGGTACGGTGGTGACTGTGTTTGTGGTGCCAAGATTGGTGGCAGTAGATGGTGGTAGTTTTGCTGGTGATAGTTGTATTAGTGTTGGTGGTGATAAGGATGGAAGTTGCTTTGGTGGTGTTGGTGTAGGTTATGGTGAAGGTTACAACAGTGTAGGAGGTTAGTGGTGGTGATGTATGGAGGTAGCGGAGGTGTCATAGTGAATACATGAGAGAGGAAATAATAGTGAAAGAGATAACCCGTAGAGGAGTGAAAAGCACGACCACTAACCAAAACATATCCATCATCATATACTATAAAACAAAGAACATATCCATCATCATATACTATAAAACAAAGAAAACCACCGACCGCCAACTTGTAAAAATCAATCTTATTACATTTCGAAATTATGATTACTTTCACCATCAGACCTTAACCGAGACCATATAAAACAAACAAACAAATAAAACATAGCTAAATATCAAAGAATAATAAAGCATTTTAAAGTTTTGAAAAAAAATGAATTAAAACGTTAAAAATTTAGACGACAGCAATTTCAAGTACACAATAAAAAACTCAAAATTCTACTTACTCTTGTTAATTTAACGGCAGATTGACTGTATAATAAAAATATGAAATGTGCTGAAGTACATATTTGAGTTATTTCCCAGACATTAAATAATAGTAGATAAATGTGAAAATTTAATATATTTTTATTATATTTAATATAATGCTACTTTTAGTCATTGTAGCAACAATAAAATACAATTAATGATTAATCTTCATTAACTCGATATAAACGATACACTAAGAATCGCAAATATTTGAACAATTATTCAACCCGCTTTAAATTAAGAGGAGTAACTAAGGAAATCGACTTAAAAACTAAACTCTTCACAACCGCTATTTTTATAATTCAAGAGAGTAACTTTATTAAAGGAAGCCAGAAGTTCTTCAATATGCAGCGACTCCAATAATATAAAATATAAGGAGCCATGATAATTATTTAGGATTTCAAAGTCGCATTCGTGAAATAGATGATCTGTAGAAATTTAAAAATTCCCTTTCAATTTCAAGTTCTTGATAAAATCAAATATATCCAGCATTACAGCCGGAACATTTGTAGGAAGAGACGTTGTTAAAGATTCGCTACTTGGAACAAAAAATTCCAAGTAGCACAGGCTATGGCGAGCCCGTTGTGGATGATAGAGGAAGAGACGATGCTTGAACGTAGAAAAACATGGTTACTGTTCTTAAACTTAAAATAGGAACCAATTGTTTTAGAATTTGTTAACACAACTCTAAACCAATCTCAGGATAACACTGCTGAAAAAATGCATTGATTTAATTTTTGACTGAAAAATGATAAGCCCATCAAACGCAAAATTGTCATGTAAGACATCCTTCTTGGGAATAAAAATTTATGAAGGGCAGACTATGTTCAATAAAACATAAACAAAGGATTCTGTATAAGAATGCTCTTAGAAGACGTTTATTCGTTTTATTCGTGAAATCAAGTGTCCAAATAGGAATTACCTTCTCAATAAGACGATTATGCAGCAGATTGATAAAGATAAGGACTTAGGAGTAGTTGAAACAGTCGTTTCAACAACTGTTGTTATCCAACAGTTGTTGAAAGTTGCTCAGCATGTAGTAGCTGTGGTAAATAAAATCCACCAAAACTTTGGAAATAATCAAACGCACTTTCAACTTCAACTTCAACGAAAGTGGTTACTCAGCTGTATAACTCTCGAGTGAGCCCCCCATCTCGACTACTGTGTCCAAGTACACAGACTTAACCTTTAAAGGACATATCTGCTTTGGAAAAAGTGGAACGCAGAGTGATAAAACCATTCCTTAACTAAGTTCACTCTCCTATCTGGAACGATTCAGGTCCTTATGACTAACAACACATCAATATAGACACGTCAGGACTGAGCCTAATAAGACCCTTAAATTATTGAACAAATTTAAAGATCGTAACCTATATCACTTCTTAAAAGGTGAAATGAACTTCACTTCTTAAGGTTCATGCTTAACAAGTCACAATGTGGGATAGATAACAATGGAAGTTTTCATGAATTCTACATTTCAAAATTCAGCTAAAAAAATGATCTGGAATAATTGAGAGAATTTGTCCACTTCGCGCCCACTAGAGATGGCAGCCCTCTGGTAAATTCAGGACAAATGAAGAGACCTGTGACAGGCCGCTAGCTTCCTGTCCTCGTCGAGGCAATTAGTAAAATGGTTGCCTTTAGGTAAATTCAGGTATACATAAATTTCAAAATTTCTTGTTTATATTTGTTAACCATGAAAGTTTTGTTTTCTTTGTCTTCAGTGAACTGTAGTAACAGAAAATGGTTTGGCAACTAATTTGGGGGGAAACAATAGCTAAATGTCTTCTTGTATCTTCTATTACTGTATGCCACCTTTATTCCTATTTTATCCGTTGTTTGTTTCAGATAATTATTTTCCGAATGAAGTAATCTGTAACAAATATTGTTTTTCTTTTAAAAATGCTGTATGTTTTATCCGTTTTAAAAATACAACCATTTAATATTAGACTTTAGATTTGATTTGATTTACATATGGTGAGACCAACTGAGCTCCGTTCCTCTCTCGAGGTGAGGTCCTCGTCTCTAACCAGACTTCCCCTACTCTTCCATATAATCTGATCTCGTTTCCGATTTCTACAAGAGTGACCAGTGTTTCCTTGTTTTCCAGTACCAAGACGAGAATCCCAGTGGTACAATATACATCAGCAACACCAATTTAACTACGAATCAACGTTTGATTTAACGTTGAATTATCATTGATAACGTCGATTCAACGTCGAACCAGTGCCAATCTTGGATATTGTGTTCACTTAGATATTGTAATCCACGATGAGACTATTTACAGAACGGGTTAGGAACTAGTCTTCGACCACCTCAAGAACTTCCTCTGCTACTGGGTTTCCCGATTCCCTTTTTGTTTCCTTAAGCCACTTCTCAGTAAATTTTCTTATTTTCCTCCAGCTTTAATAAATAACTTCTAATGTGCGTAGAAGAGATGTGTTAATCATCCTAAACATTATTTTTAAAATTTTCGTGATCTTTAAATATATATAAATGGAAACTGTAAATTGTTAAATATGCTAATAAAAAGTGGATATCATGAATATGAAAACACATAATACTTCGTATATATTTCTCATTGCTTGGGAACATAACATTTCTTAATTTGAAAGTTGAATAACTTACTCCCGGGAAGACTCCGAATGTCTTAAGACACTATCACTAACTAACGTTATCTTACATTTGTTATCTTATCAGAAATATCTTATCGTCGAGTACTAATGATCTGATGCAAGTGTTGCTGCAGTAGAAGAGGAGACAAACATCGGGGGGCCCCTCAGCACTTTGCGTCAGCGCTAACGTTATTAGTTAATAAGTCACCATTACACCCTAACCTCCACCCTAACAAGGAAGCTGATATCGCCACCACAATCAAACCGTCACCCCCTAACAAGGAAGTTGTAATGTAAGACACAATATTTCATTAACTTCTGAGGCATTTTTATCTTTGTTTTGATCTACTTCGACGCTGTGTGGTGAGAGGTGACTGGGTTGTTTGTGTCCTTTCACGCTAGCTTAATCACCTAAGTATAGTCACATAAGTGTAATTGCGAAAGTGTTGTAATGCAGGTATAGTTATTGAAGTGTGGTTATGTAGGAATAGTTATCTAAGTGTAATTTATAAGCACAGTTACCCAAGTGTAGTCACCCAAATGCCTAAGTGTAGTTACTCGATGACAGTTAGACTTGTTGTGCCCCCATCTTCACTGCTATCACGTTATCACGTGTGTGCGTCCACCACTTCCTCATGTGAAGTATTCCTACCGCCTGCCACTCATAATATTATCGCACGGCTTTTGTTTTCTTAGTTTGAATCTATGATACTTTTTATGTGCAATAAACATTTTTTGGCTTCTTTAAACTTAAATGTAATCAGAAAACAACTCCTTAACTTATTGAATAACTTCAATCAGTTATGGATCCGTGAAAACGTTGAGAACTCCTCCGGAAGCATTGGTTAAAGTTTGGAAACAAAAGATAAATGTGTTGACCAGACCACACACAAGAAGGTGAAGGGACGACGACGTTTCGTCGTCGAATAGACTTGAGAATGGTCCAGGACGGACCGAAACGTCATCGTCCCTTCACCTTCTAGCGGGTGGTCTAGTCAACATACTTCAGCCACGTTATTGTAACTCATCGTCTGCAAAAGGTAAATGTATTGAATTCCTTCGTTTGACAGCGCACTTTTCGTGTAGCTGGCAAAGGGCTCTGGCAGAGGAGTGCACCGGTCTTCTTAATGCTCTAGCAATGTGTGAACTATTCCGGGAAGGTTTAACTTACGCCGTGTGCAAAAGTGGTAGCGAGTTTATTTAGTTGTATTTGTGGTGATGGAACTCCAGCTTCTGCCTTGCAAAACAGTGTGTATGAAATAGTATGTGTGCGTAGGAATGAGGAATTCCGCGCTCCATCCTCGTGTCCAAGTGATCTGGAACTGTTTCTGCATTCCAACCTCACGTCCTAGTTCTAAGTTAACTCTTATATTTTAGTTCTTAGTTGATCCTTATATCCTAGCTGTTAGTCATCCCTCATATCCATTACAAATGCTATATGTATACCACGAACTTGCGCTTCGCTTCAGATGAGCTTGCAAGGGCCATGGATGTGGGTGGTGGTGGTAGTGACGTGTATGGGTAGGCAGTCCGGCGTGCTCAGCAACGCCCAGGAGCTCCTGGTGGGGATCGACGCTCAACACTGCCAGCTGAGGAAGACCGTCCTCTACTGTCATTACAGCGATGGCAATCAAGTAATTATTCTCAGTCTATTCATCTCTCTGTCAACTATCTCCCTCTCCTTCTCTCTCCCCCTCTTATTTATTCTTTCTTATTTTTCCTCTCCCTCCCTCCCTCTATCTACTCTCAATGTCTTGGATCATGAGAGCGTACACTGAACAACTTCATGTGCGGTAACCACACAGTAGTAGAAACAGACTCTAGTATCAGGGCGTCAACACTGAGTGCAACGTAACATCTCTTTGCTTCTTAGTGCTCTCAAAAATTATACATACAAAATAGTTTGCTTATCTCTAACTTTGCAATATTAAGTCGATGTGTTTGTACTATTTAAAGGATTTATTTAATGAGAAATTTACATACGAATTGAGACGTCGAATTTCTGTGACATCTCTAAAACCGCCATTGACATTACTGTTACTACGATAGCTAGTTAACTGTTTTTTTTTTTCATTGCGTTTTCTCTAACAGGTCGTTAGGTTAGAAGAGGTGGAGACAAATGACCAGGTAGTGGAGCGGGTGACAGTGACCGGGGCCAGAAAGCTTCTGCTGGGCGACTCCTGTGTGAACATCTCTCTCGAGGAAGTGGCTGAAGTGGTGGTGGCGAGGGGCACTCGTCCTCTCTGTAACACCGACCTCGAACTCTCCGCAAAGAAATCGACCCTCGACAGACTTCCCGACTGGGTGAGTCGAATTCATCTGGAGGAGAGCTCCGTCATTTCGATAGTTACAGCAGCCAGCATTACCAGTCTCACTGTTATCAATTGCGTCATCAAGGTCCTCGATATCTCCAAGCCTCTACCGGCTGGATCCGTTGCTAAGTTTATTTCTTCCAGTATCGACACTCTTCAGAGACTGGAGATAGGCGCCGGGTCAACACTCACTCTAGAGCATCTGACGATTGACGTTCTGGCGTCTAAGGGGCTCATCTTACGTGGCGGACATACGGAAATCCGGTCATCATCTGCAACAACGGTGATGGATGACAGTTTAGCACTGGGTAGTGAAGCTACTCTTAGTATAGTGAATTTCTCTGGCGAGTTGAAGGTTGGTGTCCTTATCGATACTGAAACAAATCTGTGTTACTCTAAAACATATTTCTGGACCATGATCACAGCCTTGACTCTCTTTGCTGTTCTATGCTTAATCGCGTTATTCATTATATTTGCAAGAAGACGAAAGCGCTCAAGCAACAAAACCAGAACGTTCATTTACGAAGCAACACATTCTTCGTAACTTTTAAACCTCTCACCTTTAGGACCTTGAAATCCTAAAATAATTGTTATCAGGTAAAATCAGGGTAAATGATAGTTTTTTTTTAAACAAATGGAGTATACTTGTTTCACCAGCAGCCAGTCAGAAAAAGAAGTATGGAATTAGGGCTATCAGTCGAGCTGATGTTAATTAATGAAAAGTAAAACGTTCCATATGATTTAATTCAATAAATTTTGTGGAGAAAAAAATTAGTTTGTTTCCCTAAAAAAATACGACACAATTAAAGTGAATATTGAATCATAAACACGTGTTAAACTGGAATAAAAAAATGTCATTATGAAACTATTGTATGGTGTGATGGGCTGACATCATGCGAAAAGCTGATGTCAGCCCGATAAGACGAAAAGCTTAAATGTTGATGAAGCATAGGTCTCTCTACCTACATGGTAGGCTTTCGATGTCCAATGGTTCAAATGTTTTGACTTAGTTCCTATACACCGTCCTGATATCCAAGCTCCTCATCCTCATATATCTTCCAAATGCTATGTAGTCATACTGGCTTAGCTCTCTCGACTAATCATTAACCATTAATACCTTGCCCTCTCCCGCGTGCTTTCTTTCTTGTTGTGTCTATTTCTTTAGAGGAGCATCGAGGATAAGGAGAGGAGAGAGACCCAGAGCATCAAAACAGGAATGTTTGTCTGGCTGTGGAGGAAATTATACTGCCAGCCAGGGAGGGATTGTGCCACGCGGCACCAGCTTAGTTTTCGTCACTAGGATATTTTTAAATGTTTCTTTTGGTTATGTATATTCTCGAAAGTAAATGTGCTTGTGTAATGTATACAAGAATGTTCGAATGTGTAAGTTAAAACCAATGTCCGCTCTCAAGAAGAACTTTTAAAAATATTTTTTCCATGAGTTTTTTTTATTATTATTTTCTACCACACATTTACAATGCTAACCAGCATATATACATTTTCTTCTGTCCTCCATGGACAGGGTTAGAGATGTGTTAAACATAGTTTAGGGGTTTATTGAACAATCAACCACAGAAGGTGATTCGGTGCTTTTCAAATGCTAAGCTAACCTACATACGTAAATACATAGATACACAGATTTACGTATGCCCTACATAAAGTGTTTGATGTGTCTTTTACATAGTGTCATTAATGTGCATTTACAAAGGTGAAATGTAATTCTGATCAGCTTCCATATATACTTTATACACATACATATACATACACATATACGTACATATACATATATACATACATATATACACACACATGCATTCACATACATTTGTCTCTTTTACTCTGACAGAGTGAGATAACTGATAGAGAAACTAGTGTGCAATTAAGCACTTAATCACTGAAGGTGATTAAGGTGGTGACTTAATCACCACCTTAATCACATTAAGGTGGTGATTAAGAAGGTGACTTTAAATATATATATATATATATATATATATATATATATATATATATATATATATATATATATATATATATATATATATATATATATATATATATATATATATATATATATATATATATATATATATATTATTAAATATGACCGAAAAAGTAAGATTAATAATTCTAACACGAATTTTCTCAATCTTTCGTACATTTCTTTTCACTGTTGGAGGTAATTCAAAAATCAATTCTCCAAAATTCATTTTTATTTCTAGTCTGACGCGACACGAGCGCGTTTCGTAAAACTTATTACATTTTCAAAGACTTTAGTTTACAAATACACAACTGAATAGAACTTACACATCTCCGATTTTTGTTTATATCTACATTTGAGTGAGGTGGATGGGGTGAGGTGGCATTAATAGGGTATTAATTTCATCAACACAAGACAGAACAAGAGGTGGCATTAATAGGGTATTAATTTCATCAACACAAGACAGAACACGAAACAATGGGTATTGAAATGGAAGTGATTGTAGAAAGCTGCTGGAAATGAGCTAATGAGCTGCTGCTCATTACTTTGCAAACGGCTTTGCAAAGCCGTTTGCAAAGTAATGAGGACTGGAACAGAAGTGCGAAGACAAATACAGCGGAACAGGATGATGGGAAGACAGATTCTTCAATCAAAAACAAGAAAGACCTGGAAGTGGACATAGCCCCAACTATGATGTCGTAGGTACACCTTTGTAGAATTTCAACAGCTGCAAATGGTATACTGGCCAAGGTCCGTGTATCCTTCAGAAAGTTTGAAAAAAGGGTCTTTCTGGGCCCTATGTACAGCGAAACTGAGACCCACACTTAAATATGCATCTCCAGTATGGAACCTTTACTTGAAAAAGGTCAAGGAAAACTATATAATGTCCAAAGATATGCAAGAAGACTCGTTCCTGAGCTGAAGGGATTGATCGATGAGGAAAAGTTTGAGGGAACTGGACCTTAAAACACTGGTGGAGGGAAGGAGAGATAGGGGAGATAGGAGATAACAACATATACGACTCGAAGGAAAATTGACAAGGTATACAAAACAGCATTGTTCAAAACTAGGAACTGAAGAACGAGGGGTCATAAATGGAAACTTGAGACACAAATGAGTCACAATTAGAAAGAACTTTTTCAGTGTTGGAGCTGTCAATAATTGGAATGGATTAGACGCAGAAGTCGTTGAAGCTAATTAAATTTAAAGTTTCATATGTAAATGTGATAAAAGCGCAAGAAATGAGTCATTGCATTAATATAATAAAGTTCGAAAGACGGGCTGGGAGCCTAGCTCGACCTTGCAAGAACATTTAGGTAAGTACTCACACTCACTAATACATACACATAACACAACATACACATAACACAACATACACATAACACAACATACACAACTGACGGTGAATAAGCAAGCCGGTTATATTACCTAGTCCAAAGTTTAAATCCCAATCTAACATAAATGTTAATATCAGTCACCTACATGACCCGAATCTATTCTGAATGCTCGATTGTGTAACTAATAAAGAAGCTGAGAGTCTTCCATGATACAAATTGCGATTCGTCTTTTCTGCTTTGAAGTTGCTCTTTCAGATGTGTTTAATTAACGTCTTAGATGGAGCCAATGGAGTCTGTGATCTTAATCAGGTTCCCGCAGGCGCTTGTCAATACGGTGAAGAGAAGAGAGAAAAAAGGCTAAATATTGATCGAAGCAAAATATTTTATCTATTTTTCTCCAACACAACCATCCGTGTTTGAGAAAAATAGAGAAAATATTACTATTTTTATTATTATTGTTATTAAACAAATGTTGGTGATAAACTTTTAAAACTTCTTTCAACTGCATTTCGCTGTTCTTTATTGCTTTTTACTGCTCAGTATTCCTACGTATCAAGTGACCTTAAGTGATCAGCTTGAATCAGCCTTTCTCTCTCTCTCTCTCTCTCTCTCTCTCTCTCTCTCTCTCTCTCTCTCTCTCTCTCTCTCTCTCTCTCTCTCTCTCTCTCTCTCTCTCTCTCTCTCTCTCTGAAATGTAGCAGAAGCAGACATATTCGGTACTAATAAGGCCGATTTTCTTTTTGTTTTTCCTTTGTATACTCTATTGATTTGTATTGTTTCGGAGTTTTGTACCGCTTGCTTCACACTGCTGTATAACGTGACCCCACTGAGAGTGGACCATAGAACGAAAAAGAATATCCCTGGTGAAATATTGACACCGACAGAGTGTAGTAATGGAGGTGGGACGTTTTTACCCAGTCTTCAAAGCACCTAATTTCAACACCGTTTTCACCCACTCTCTCTCTTAAAGGTAGTAAGAGAGCTGGAGGAAAATTTTAGAACAGTTTTTGTTGTGAAAAATAAGCTCACATTTTTTATTGTGTTTATTTAACTCTAGTAATAATAAAAGATATGGAGAGAGAGAGAGAGAGAGAGAGAGAGAGAGAGAGAGAGAGAGAGAGAGAGAGAGAGAGAGAGAGAGAGAGAGAGAGAGAGAGAGAGAGAGAGAGAGAGAAACACATCAAAAAGTGAAGCATTCAACAACCAGTTAACACATAATTACATTCTACCCACTTCAAGACCCCGAACCAACATAGAGACAGTAGAAGCAAGAACATAAGCTGCTTATGTTGATGCATATAATAGCCTATTAGTATCCATTATGTTTCATCCATTTGTTTAAGCACGTACTGTAGCGCCTCACCCCAAGCGAATATATGCCTTTGCAAAAACTTGGTAAATTTGTCTTTGAAAATGCAAGGAGTGTCTTGTGAAACGTATCCCTAGGAAGGAAGAAGCATCCTCCCGAAGATGTATTATTACATACGAAAGTACTTAAGGAAGTTCCTGTCTAAATCCTTCCTTCGTGGTCTGACACTGTCACATTGTTAATCCCGTGTTAATTTTCGTGATTTACACCACACACACATTAGTGTATGTGTATATATATATATATATATATATATAATATATATATATATATATATATATATATATATATATATATCACTTCTATATATCAAGCCCGATTTGCCTATATATATATATATATATATATATATATATATATATATATATATATATGACCGAACCTATATATATATATATATATATATATAAGGTTTTTAATCGGTCAGTCTTGAATAGTAGGCTGAGAAGTGCGTTCTGGCTATTAGGTACGACATATATATATATATATATATATATATATATATATATATATATATATATATATATATATATATATATATATAATTTTAAGCTCGAATCAATAACGGGATATAAATGAAGGGGATTGAGACACTCCACAATAGTACACGTAATAACATTTCAATAACAGCTCCGAGATCCTTTCTCATCGTGAGCATCATTGCCTGGATGGTAGGACAATACAGTAGTTTCATAGTTGTAAAAGTCGAGTACGCAATTTCGATTATCCAAATAAATGAAAAAAGGATACACTACTGTAGTCCTAGTTCTATAAGCCCTTCAAGGCTTGTCTCCAAAGCAGGGGATCTAAATCTTTTTACAAACAAACCTTTCGAATGTAACTACATTCTGTTAACTACAACCCCACGTTCAACAGTATGAATTTAGTTCCCTCTACTGCTTTAAAGAATAATAGTGTTTTCTATCCATTAATATTATAACATTTCTATATAAAACGAAAATTACTTAGTAAACCGAACTGTTTATAATCTAAATAAAATTCATTAGGTTTACTATAAGTTAAAACTAATATTTTAAACAAAAACAGCAAATCAACTAAACTTTCAAAACATTACTAATTATAAATG